GCAATATCCTTAACTCGAAATTCTTTTACCACGAAAAATATTTCAGTCCCTTCAATTTACTGTTAAGCGATTTTCAATGTAGTTCTTTTTCAAAAAATTTGACGCATCGTTTTGTAAGTGAATCACTGATAGAAAAGATAAAAAAAAAGTGTACTTAAAATACTTTTCCCATTAGTAAAACTTTAAAATAAATAACAAAACAATCCAAATATATCCGTGATTCTTTTTTATTACTCACTAGTCATTACCAACCCGCTTCGCTGGATATTTCATGATGTTATATAAATTTATACTGTTTTTTTTATATAAATTATTAATATTTGAGTCCTGGCATCAAGTGTTCGATTTTAATGAAAAGCATTCTTATACTTACAGACTTGAAATTTGACAGGCATGTTTATTTTGTTGAGTAGAGATCCGCTAAAAATGGGATTTGCGAAAATCTGCTTTGGGGGAGGGAGTTACGGGAGCGTAAAAAATAATTATACTTCTGTTTTAAAAATTCAAGTCCTGTCCTCTTTAAATCAAGAAGGGAGGACTTATATATAAAAATTTAATAGGTGAATTATAAGTTAAATATATTACTCATGTAATATATTTTTGAAAATTTTGAAAACATGCATTTGAAAAGTGGTCAAATGTAATTTGTTGGTAGCCAAAACAATGGCCTCTTGGTGACTAATAATAGTTTTGAGAAAACTGAATCTAAAAACAAACTAAAAGTCATTCAAAAGCGCTTAAGTCTTAATAAAGACACAATAAATGTTTTAAAAAATGTTATTTTACTTTAATAATTTGTTGCAAATTTGATTAAATAATAAATTAAGCTGATAAAATATGCATTATAGTGCATACAACAGAGGGAGAATATAAGTGCTGATCATAATTTAATGAATTCCAAAAGGAGCAAACCAAGTAGGATATTTCTCTTCCAAAAAGGAACAGAGGAAAAAAAGATTAAATGTTTGCCAATTCAAAACTCTTCTTGGATACATGAGAATGACGTCACATAAATCCGAGGATCTTTAGCTATTTTACAAAACAAACGTTTCAGGACTTTGATGCAACTTTCGAATTAGTTACATCACGAGTTGGAAATAGAGCAATTCGGAGAGAAAACTAGCGAAAAAAAAAATGAGAGTTCGAAAAATCATGTTTTGCGGTTGATTTCATCAAGGAAAAAAGAGTGATCATTCGGTTTTGTATAACAAAGAATGTTTTACAAACGAATGATATATTGCCCTATATATAGATTGATAGATATATAACCAGGATTTCGCTTAGATTTTATTGCAAGCAGGAATAAAGAAAAGAGTGAAGAGTTGACTGTTTAAGAAATTTTACACACAGTGGCCCTCGAAAGTGTTCGTACACTTGAAATTTTTGAAAAAAAATTTAATGTTTTCGAATAATAAAATTTAATACATCGGAGTTTTTTTATACCTACAACTTGTTCTTGTTGAAATAACAATCTTACTGAATTTATTATCTAATTATTTTAAAAAAATTAAAATAAAAAAAAATTACTAAAAAACTATGCCACGAAAGTCTTTGTACACTGAAAAAGAAATCTCAACATAGTTTTTAAATATTGCGTTTTTTTTTTTAATTGAGTACTTAATAGGATATCTTTTGACATCGACAACAGCTTTTAAACGTCTTGCTACAGATTTCCTCAGTTT